ATATGGTATATGTATGTATAATAGTAACACGTTCTATAATATATATTTAAAGCGGAAATTTCAGCTGATATGTGAGATAGCTTTCTTCTACGTAAAGAGAAGAGATATTACAAGCACAAAATTATATTAAAGTTTGCTGCAAGTATCGATATAAATAATAGACAACCTTACTCAGAAAGATTTTATTGACATCTTGTACGATCACGCGTTATCTCTATACGATTGCAAAATATTGAGTTATAGAAAACAATTTCCGGGATATCGAAACTCAATGAATGTCTTCGTCAATCCTATTTCGTTTTTTATCTTCTTTGACATTTGTTTCCGTAATTACATAAAAAAATTTCTTCTATGTAATACCTTCTAAAATAATCTTTTAAAATAAAAACCTATCAAATTTTTCATAAAAATAAGATGTAACGCGCGCGTATACGAAATTACAAACGTGAAAAATAAGATAAATCTTTGTAAGATAAATTCATTTTAATATTGCATAAATGACTCATATGAGCATATTATCATGAACTAACGATTTTAATAGCAAACGTCTGCAAAAACATGTATGATTTACAATGCTATATGTGTGTGTGAAGAAAAACGAATACATTTCCTATTAAGTGAATCATGACAATATTGCTTAATATATTATATTACATTATAATCGAAGATATTACATGCGAATTTCCTATTTTCTTGTTAAAAAATTTAAAAAAATTGGATTACTAAACTAAGCCGCGCGGTTGTTACTGCCATACATACGCGAAAAGATGATGTAGTTGATAAATAATTCAGCGTTTACGCATCAGGCAACGAGTAATGAATAGTAAAAATGTGATGCAACTATGTATCAGTTATACAGATTACTAAACTAAACCGCGCGGTTGTTACTGCCATACATACGCTGTAAAGATGATGTAGTTGATAAATGATTCTGTGTTTACGCATCAGGCAACGAGTAATGAATAGTAAAAATGTGATGCAACTATGTATCAGTTATACCATCAGCACATAAATTCTATATATTGAAATAATATTCGCAAATAAAATTTCTACAAAATATGTTATATCAAAATAATAATTAAAATTCTGCAGATTTTTATAAGCGTTGTTTTTTATTGATATTGAATTTTCCATTTGCGCTCGTGGAATTTGCATCCTATAATTTAAAATTAACTAAACAAAATTAAAGAATGTAATGAGTACACATTAATAAATCTCTGTGAATTTTTTTAAAAATTCTTCTATCTTCTTTTTAAAAGGATTATCAAATGTTTCAACAGTTATTTGTGTAACTATAAATGTATTTCTATTGATATCATTTGTCTTAATAATCCCTCGACTTAAGGTACCAATTAATCACTCATTGAAATCATGAATAATTTATTTGAGAAGAAAGAGATCGTACTACCGAAAATGTCTTACTTCAGTCGATCTTAATTCGTGCCGTCGAGACGAGTCATTTTCTTCAGCCACTTTCATCGCCAGGCGACCGTTTTTTTTTTCTTTTTAATTACATTTCAGTCCATTTCATTTAAAATTAATAACGGACTAGCTTTTTTATTGCGTTTCGCTCTCCGTAATACGAGTATTAAATATTAGTGCGGTTAAAATGGACATATGCTACATTGTACAATAATAAATTTGAAATCTGGAAAATGTATTACAATTACACAAAAAATTAAATCTCAGAAGCTTATTCTTAAAAGTATATTTTTTTTATTACATTTTTTATTACAATAAATTCTGTATTTACCCGTTCTTTATTAAATAGAAGAATTTTTAAAGAGCGAGATTTTTAAATTCAATATCGTAAAAAAAATTTATTTTATTAATATTTTATGGATATTTTAATAAAAATTAAATTTTTGCTTGAGAAGTTTTTGTTTATTTAGTCATTTTATTAATTAAAATGTTATAATAAACAGAAAATAAACCTTTTATTAAAAGCTTGTTTTATACCTTGAGATTTTACTTAAACGTATCTTTGTTCTAAACAAATCTTTTTATAGTTAAATGGCTGCTTTATTAAATTCTCTAGTAATATTTGTTATTATGTAAATATTTTGTAGTATTCAATTTAATTGAACAATTTTATTAGAATGGTATTAACTGTATATGTAACAAACTACATCATAAAATAAAAGTAAAATATAGCACACAGATCAGCATCATGCAAAAAAGAAATCATTTACATATAAAAGCATGCATTATAAAGATATTTAAAATGCCATAACAAAATCATTGAAAAAGAAATAATTTTTGATGTATGATAAAGTTGAACAAAATTACATTATCACTATGAATAAGGTTACACAAGACTCAAAATAAGACAATATTTGTAAAAATATAAATAATTTTGACAAGGCTAATAATCTTGACGATCTTGATCTTGGTATTGTCTTGATAATTAATTAAAAATCTTGTTTGGATCTTGGCTCGAATTTCGAGACAAGATAATATCAAGACTAGTCTTGGTATTTCATGCAACTCCAGTTATGAATAAAAAAATCTGGCGACGTCGAAGATATTCTATTGTGCTCGTCACATAAAAGTTATATAAAATATCTACGACATTTAAAATTTTTTTCTTAATTTTAAATTTTTTGTTCAATTTAATTTGGTTTATTTTTACAAAAATATATTTGATAAAAACTTTTTTTTTCTTAATTTTCTATATAATATCTAATATCAAATCTCTCGCTGTCCTTCTTTTTATTTATAATTAGTATTTAAATTAAAATTCCGGTAAATGTATGAAGAATTTATAATTAATAATGCCAATCTACATTTTATTTTTTATATAAACAAACATTTATGTTTTATGTATATAATCTATATTTACAGAACAAAGTTATGAGGCGCGCAATGCATGCTATATATATCGGAGATTCCGACAGAATGTCCATTA